GGATTTTAGAGCCTAGTGTCTTCCCAGAACAAGATAACCAACTAGCTGCCTTCCTCTTCTCTGTTATTTATCATAATCTCATTTTATTACAATAAAAAACTAAAACCAAAAATTTGTACACATTTCCTATAGTTTTCACAAAACCCTCACCAGTACCAGCGGTTTTCGTAAAACCCCTGCTAGTACCGACGGTTTTGACAAAACCTCCTCTAGTACTGGCGGTTTTGACAAAACCGCCGCTAGTACCGGCGGTTTTCAGAAAACCCCCACTAGTACCGGCGGTTTTCAGAAAACCCCCGCTAGTACCGACGGTTTTGACAAAACCCCCGCTAGTACCGGCGGTTTTCACAAAACCCCCGCTAGTACCGACGGTTTTCTCAAAACCGCCGGTAATTACTTAGCGACGCAGCTTTTTCCGGCAATTTTCCTAACCGCGGGTAACCTATTTTTCGGGGGTTAAAACCGCCGGAAATGGAAAAAATAAGCCCCGGTAAAAATGTAGATTTTTGTAGTGTATCAAGTCTTTCTAAATAATTAAATAATGGTATGAGTGCTCGTGCAATCGTCCGCATCAGCCTAACACTCAATACTCTCAAGTCTTTCTAAATAAGTAATTAACGGTATGAGTGCTCGTGTGATCGTTCGCATCGTCCTAGTGCTTAATACCATTATTTCTCTTTTAAAAATAATTAAAAATATTCAAATATCATTCTAAAGGTATGAGTACTTGTATGGCCGTCTGCGTCGGCCTAGTACTCATTAGCTTCTTTTTCTCAAAAATATCAAAAAATATAAAATCTTTAAAAACTAAAAAACATCTACATTTTCAAACAAACAATCTTTCAACTAGAATTACGTGATCCTTGATTCTCCATCAAAACTGGAGATACGTAGGAGCAAGGCTAGTCCTTATCAGGTTCACTTCCCAAAAATCCAAGATCATTCCAAAACAAAATTCCAAACAAATTTCCAAATATTTTCTCAAACAAACTTCTCAAAAGGTTTTCAAAAGAACTACGTAACCCTGATTTCTCATTTTGAATGAGAATACGTAGGAGCAAGGTCAAACTTTGTCAGACCCAAAAAACTAAAAAATATATTTTGTTTCTTTAGAGTTTTATTTTTAGGGATAGTTAAACATTTTAAAAACCACATCACATTTGCGTATTTAGTTAAAGGTATTGCCTTCGGGCAGGCGTTGTAGGGTGTTAATACCTTCCCTACACGTAACTGACTCCCGAACTCAGAATCTGGTTTTTCCTAGACCATGCCTTATCCTTTTATGGGTTTTCCGTAGTTTTTTAGAATGAACTATGGTGGTGACTCCAAATCTCTTTTACAAAGTTATCTTTATTTGGATCGTCGTCTCGTCGCGATTCCGGTTGCGACAATTTGTTTGTGATCGTTCAATCTTCAACTGTTATACACCATTCGGTTTGCATCTGCGCTCCTTTTCCCTTTCCTCGCGGACCAACATACAGGAGTGCTTTTAAACTTAAGACAATAGGGGTCTTCATATTCTTCACATTGTAACATCATCAAAATCATTGTCTTCAAGACATCAATGCTCCTCATCGGTAACATATACATCATGAAACCCAACGAATCTAACATCTATACAACATAGGTATACCATAGTATCACCACAACACTACATTGCACACACCTTGAAATACTACATGGGTTTGAGAAACAACAACCCCATAGTTTACTTATAATGTATGCCACCCAAGCACCCTCTTCACCTAACATATAAAACCCTAATCCTATGGATCTATGCACATGAAATACTCAACCCAAAAACGCATCCAAACAACCAAAACACATGCAACGTGACAACAAAACATAGCAACATTCATAATAACCCTAATCATGGTCTATGATACTTGTGTAGTAAAAAGAAAAACAAGAGCCCTACAAATGCTAACAAACATATACACATAAGTTAGCTCCACTAACCTCTAATATAAGCAAACCTTCCTCTTAATCAACCTTTAAACACGTCCACTGCTAGTGTTGTCAAAATGGGTTGTAACTCGCGAGCCAACCCGACTCACCATGGGTTTGAGTCGGATTGGGTTTGAAAAAAAATGTAATTTTTTTATGCGGGTTAGTTTTCAACCCGGCTGTGGGAGTGACTGGAGAAGGTTGTTCTCTGTCTAGTGATTCGCTTTGCGAATCTAGTCGCTATGCGACTGGTAGTGATTTGAGTTTAATGTCAATTAATTCGAATAGCGAATTTGGGGCGCTATGCGAGGGTTTAGGGTCTGATAATGTGTATTAGAATTTTTAGTTTAGCATAGCGCACAGACTTGGTGCGCTATGCGAATTTTAGTTGTCCCCTTGTCATGAAAATTCGCTCAGCGCATCAAGGGTGGTGCGTTATGCGAATTTTAGCTGAAAAACACTCCCCCGTCAGGAAAATTCGCTCAACGCACCAAGGATGGTGCGCTGTGCGAATTTTTGCTGTCGTGCCTTGCACCCTGGTGCGCTGTGTGACCTGGTTCAGTGAGTTTCACATTTTTCCTCATCTGTTTGAGTTGTTTGGTGTTGTTTGACTGTCATAGTGTATGTATGTCTATATAACTGATTTGAGTGGCTTGATTTTGCAACATGATTGAGGGTATGTTGTATTGTGTGTGAATTATAGTTTGGAAGTATGTATGAAACAAAGTTGTGATTAGCGTAAGTGTAACAAGTATGGTTAATGGATGTAATTCCATGGATCTCAAAGTGAGGTCACATGGTGGTGCCCTATAGTGTTGGACGTAATTCCATGATCTTCAAGGAGAAGATTCATGGTGGTGCCCTTAATGTTTAGAATGATTTGCATGGTAACTCAGTCTTGGGGGTTTTCCTGACACTCCAATGGTCTTTCATTCTCAAGTAGAGAGGATTGATCCATGTGGTGAGGAGTAGCAGGAGGTCCTAGTCTTGGGTGCTTCCAGTACGGCCCAAGGTAAGTGATAACAGACTAACCTCGTGAGTGTGGTAGGGTGAAACCCATTGGCAATGACTTTGCAAAGCAGTAGAGGCCACCATGAGTGCATAACCCACCATAGCTCGACAATCATTCTAGTCCCGACGAGTCAAATTTAAGTGCAACAAGTCATGTTTGTATAGTATAGTATATCCGTCTTTACTTGCATGTTGCCTGTGACTGCTATAAAACGATTTTTTTTATATCTATCTCACCCTTGCTTGTGTGTTCGTGTTGCTTGGGTATGCTTTTCTTTTGCAATGATCATCCACTTGGATGTGAGCAGAGGTTGATGAGGTGCCTCTGGAGCAGGCTTTGGAGGAAGACGATGTTGCTGCTTAATTTCCTTAGGATTTTCCTAGTGTTTCTTGTATTTTGAATTACTATTTAGTTGTTGAGGATTTTTCCCGGTGATTCCTATCCTTGTGAAATACTCTATTTGCGTTTAAGTTTTAAATTATTTCTCATTCTGGGATGACTGTAAGCTTAACTACTTTATTTACAGTCTACTCTAACTGTTCTCTTTTATTTAAATGTGGACTTACTATGTTATATGCTTCTATATAATCTGGGATGTTACAGGATCAGTTTTATACTATTGCCATTAAAAAATAAAACAGAAAAAGTAAAAGTATACATAAAATATGTATAGCTTTTTATACATTACTAGTTTTTAATCAGTGTTGTCAAAATAGGTTGAAACCCATGAGCCAACCCGGCTCATCACGGGTTTGAGCCGGGTTGGGTTGGAAAAAAATGCAAAAATTTTTATGCGAGCCAATTTGGCCCGGCTCACTTCGAACCCGGCTCACATGGATTGAACCCGTGGTGGGTTGGGTTGGCTCACCAACCCACCTACTTTTTATTAATTAAATTAAATTAATTATTCAAATCCTATATTTTTATTGAAATCAAACTAATTAAATTAATTATTCAAAATGCACAACCTTTACTTAGCAATAGAGCCTTTTGCGTTGCTGTCTTTCCAAAAGTTCCTCTCTGCAAATAAAACTCTAAGATTATAGATTGGATAATATTATAGATGGAGATAAAGAAGAAGATGCTTCAAGAGAGCATAATACTGTGAATTTATCCATTCAAGACTCCAATATAATAGATGGATAATATTATAGATTGGATAATTCAGGAATATATCATTTGTTTTATCTTGTTTTTAGACTTATCTACAAGCATGACAATTTTATCTTGTGTTATATATTTTTGTTAACGGCTATATGTAGTTTCTTGGTCAAACAGTTGTGTATGTCTCATTAAACTAAATTGGCAAAATTTTATGTTTGATAGCTTATAATATATATAACAATATATTTCTTTTATTTCATTTTTTTTATATCAATTGGTCCAATTATTACTATTTCAATTTGATCGATCAAAGTAACATGTTATAAGAATCTGAGAAGAAGAGGGTGAAAAAAAAGTTAATTAAGTGAGTCAATGAGCCAACCCGTTTAACCCACCAACCCATGGTGAGTCGGGTTGGGTTTGAATTTTTTCGACTCGTTAATAAATGAGATGGGTTGGGTTGACTCACTAAGTGGCCAACCCGTGGTGGGTCGGGTCGGGTCGGACTGGATTACCCGTTTTAACAGCTCTATTTTTAATGATAATAAAAATTGATTAAAAAAATTAGTTTTTTAGTGATAATAAAAATTGATGAAATGATTAAGATTAAAATAAAATAAAATAACACAGTTAAATTTTAAAATATAACCATTTAAAAGGTAAAATTGATAAAATAATTATTTTAATTTAAAAAAATTATTCAAAAGATAAAATTGGAAAATAAAAAAGAAATCCTCTATATATATATATATAATAAAGATAATAACTCTATAGAAATTAGAAAAGGTCTTTATAAGAGCAAGATATATATATTTTTTAAAATGTGTAATTAATTGATTTTAGTTTTATCCATTTTCTTAAATTATTAATTGCTTATTTTCACTTTGGAAGAGTAGAATTGGGCCAGGGCTTAGTGGAGGTCCAAACCCCTTTTGGATCCATAAATTGGTTCAACCCTACACTCTTACTACCTACGCTACTGCTCTCTCCTCTTCGGAAGGGTCGAGTTTCTCAAGAAGGGTTCGATTGGGTTCGCAAGAAGGGTTCGATTGGGTCCGCAAGAAGGGTTCGATTGGGTCCGCAAGCCGTTCCTCCTCTGTTTTTGGTATGACATTCATCGAGTTATTCTTGCCTTTCTGAATTTACACTTGTAGCATGCCTCTATTTGATTTGAGTGACCAACTGTACACTTAGGGTTTTTGACTCGATTCCTTCGGTGGAATTTGAATTTTTATTTTTTTTTCTTGACGTGCGCAACATGGGTTGTTGTGGGCATATTCTGAGGACTTTGCTCAATAGTTAGGTTTTAATCTTATCATTTTGTCTCTCTGTTTTTTAGTGGTTTGTTCGATTTATCTTACAGGGAGTTAGCATACTCTAAACTAGCTGATTTGATTGCTAAGGTTGTTATTCACTGGGGGTGAAATCTTTAGAAGTGGTTCAAGAACCTGGTTAGCGGTTTCTTCGTTGTAACTTCTGAGGGTTGCAATAATAATTCAAACAAACAGTGTTCTTATGTAAATGGTTTGTGTACATAAGCGTGTGTTTCAGACAGGGAGGGTAGAGAATTATAGTCCCACTACACATTAAGGACAGTTAAGTTGATTTAACTAGTATATACCATTACAGTAAGAGGTCATGTTGCGAATTTTTGCCAGGGATGATTTTTCAATGCTGTTAAAAAGAGAGCTGAGTAAGGTTTAAGTCTATGTCGATCTTAATTTGATCTCATGACATCAATGCTTTCTTTATGATAGATGACAAGCGCTTGGACAAATATGAGCTTTGCACTCAAACATAGGGATATAGAAAGGGAATGGGAGAATCGGGGTGGAGTTATGGTTATTTTTTTAAAATTATTGGAGATTCTTGCTCACTCAGAAGATGTATGCCTGCTAAAATACTGGAAAGGATGAGGAGTTCCAATTTAGTTTCAATATTGTTATAGCTTTGGAGCATCTTGGAGCAAATGAGCAATGGAGCTTGTGGAGCACGGCTCACCTCAAGGATTGCTCTCTTGGTTTGCTTCATAGTTTTGGTTTTATTTATTTTTGTGTAATCATTAGACTAATGATGATGATAAGTAGAACTTTTAGGTTTTTGCCTAGGCTTTAAATAAGCGAGAGAAATCCTCCACCTTGCTGATGAGCTTCAAATTTTGTTTGTAGAAAGACTGCATAACTGTCAAACATGAGTGGCCGGTTTTCTCGCACAATTTACGTCGGCAACCTGCCTTCTGACATAAGAGAGTCAGAAATTGAAGATCTCTTCTACAAGGTGAAATTTTTACTTTTCTTGTGCAATGTACTAATTGCATCAATGTGAATTTCCTTAATAGAACCATTTTTATTTGCATACTCTTTTTAAAAAAAGTGAAATCAACTTAAAATTTATTTTAACTGATGAATAGCCAGTATGGAATACTACTCTTATTATGACTTTTGAGCAAGGATAAATGATGTTTGACCAGCATACTTGTATATTTTCTTGTTATGGACCTTGTTGACTTTTCATAGTTTATATTTTAGCAAATTTGCTTTACACTTGCGTCCTTCATTCGAAGCAATTATATGTTTAGTTCATTTTAATATAATTCACAGTCAAGTTCTGATAAGTGGGGTTGATAGTTGTGTACTAATGTAATTGTGTTGCAATGGTATTCCCACTACAGTATGGTCGTATAATGGATATTGAATTGAAGATTCCTCCCCGCCCTCCATGTTATTGTTTTGTTGAGGTATTTTTCTTTTCTATATTTATTACTAGTTGAAGTATTTATCCTCCTGTCCATATTTTTTTTTCTCTTTTACCATTTGATCATTTATTGTTTGTTGGGTTGCTAGTTTGATAATGCTCGAGATGCTGAAGATGCAATTCGAGGTAGAGATGGATACAACTTTGATGGTTGTCGGTTACGGGTAAGGAGCTGTTCCAACTTTTGGGTTCTAGATAAATTCCTCTGTAATGGTATGTCTCATGTGTTCTGGTTGCAGGTGGAACTTGCTCATGGCGGTAGAGGACCATCGTCAAGTGATCGACGTGGATATGGAGGAAGTGGTGGGGGTGGGGCTGGGGCTGGGGCTGGTGGGGGTCGTTTTGGCATCTCACGCCATTCTGAATTTCGAGGTGTGTCCATTGTGCTTTTGGCATAATCTTGGTTTGATGTTGAAGGATAGGGAGCAATGCTATTTTTCTTCAGACTGCACATGCGTCCATTTAGCTATCCTTTGTTTGTTTTTGTGTATCTTTTTTTTCTAATTATATAGTTTTTTCAGCCTTTATGCTTAGAATGTTGGTGCTAAGGTTTATGGATTTTTCATTTTGAGAAGCATTTTTTGTTTGTCTTTTCTTTGCTTTTTTATGGTTCATAATTTATATGAAATAGTTGTTTAATACGTATTCATAAACTGTAGTTAACTTTTCATATTTTTGCACACAATTTCGCTAATTTTTTATTTTCATCTGCAGTTATTGTTCGGGGACTCCCATCTTCTGCATCCTGGCAAGATTTGAAGGTATCATAATCTTCATGCTTGTAAACTGTACTGCTCAAATTGTTCCCACCTCACCATGTTATGATATTTGGTTTCAGGATCATATGCGAAAAGCTGGTGATGTTTGTTTTGCTGAGGTTTCTCGTGATAGTGAAGGTACACCTTCATTTGGGTTTTTGTTTTGCTAAATTACTGATTACATTGATACATTATAAGTAATACTTGTTTGTTATAGCGCATGCTATATTCCTCTTCTGTATGAAAATTAAAATATATTATAGGATCCCAGGGGTTTGAACGTCACAATCTTAAACCTTATATAAATACGACCAGTATATTAATGCGATGTAGGTTCTAATGTTTTAAATTAATATGATTGAAGAAATGAAGCATTGTAGAATGGAGATGAAACTCTTCATAGGCAAGGACAACCAAATTTGTTGCTTTATGACTTCTACGGGTTTGCTTTATAATTGTGCCAGAGGGCATGCGGGAGAATGTAACATCTATTTCCACTATTAACATGCAACACGTTCTGATCAGTATATGTGTGTATTATTTTCGGCATTATTATTAGTTTGGAGTCCACAATTCATAGGCTGAGTAATGTTAAATGCGCCATGGAGCAATTGTGAAGTTCACTCTCTTCAAGGTTAACAAAAAGCCCAGTGAGTGCTTTAAACAGGTGGAATCTTGACGTAAACAATCATTCAGGATATAAATTTTACCCTGCTGCTTTTGTATGTAATTCTTTTTTGAATGCATAATACCTTGCGAAGGAAATTAAAATCTAGGTTGAGGATTGCCTTTCTTTTATTGTAAATCACACACAATGGTTGAACTATTGTGCCAATGTGTTGTGTCGTGACATTGCCACTCCTCTAAGGGCTGTTGCATGGCAGTGATTTGTGGCTGCTCCCTCTATTTGCATCTTGCCAAATGGGCTGTGACCTCTGGCATTGGTAGACAGCCTTTCATCTGCGATTTCTGCAGCTGCTGCGACACAATGATTCGGAGAGGAGGAGTTGGTATTGATGGGAGAAGAGGCCTGGGTTTTTGTTTTTTGTTGGTGGTAGGGGATGACGGATGAATGTAGAAGTGTCTGCGTTATTTTTTTCTCTCTTGGTGATGGCTGATATTTTGAATGAATTTTACGTATCATAGAATTTTATTTAGTATGAAGGGTGATGATTGGTCAAGTATATTGCTGTATAATTTCAGATAACTTTACATTATTCAACTCGTATTGTGTATTGGTTGGAGTTGTATAAAGTTGGAAAATTACAATTTTTATGATAGAGAGTTTGCAGTTAAGGGACATGAACACTTGGTATCCTTTTTTATTAATTCATTAATGCATCACTGGCGATATATTAATAGACATCAAGCATCCCAGTTAATCTGTTATATTAAGGCTTTATTGCACACAGCAGCCTTCTTTTTATCAACTCTGCTTTGGTGTACAAGAGTCTATGAAACTGAGTATTTAATATAGATTTAATTATTATCATGGGTAGAGAAATCAACATTCTGGGAATCATTTCGAGCAAGTGTCTCAACTTTCACACGAGCCTTTTGTGTGTGCATGTCAAATTGTTTACTTTTAGATTTCTATTCTACAAATGTATTCCTATTCTGACATTTCAATTTTTAAAATGTAGTTTTAGTGTATATCACTCATACTATTGTTCAATGTTTAGGGACTTTTGGCATTGTTGATTACACTAATTATGACGACATGAAGTATGCTGTAAGTTCTTCATCCAGTTAAATGATACTAAAATTACTGCTATACTCTCCTATACGTTTTCTAACACACCTTTACAGATTCGCAAACTGGATGACACCGAGTTTAGAAATCCTTGGGCGCGAGCCTATATTCGGGTAATATCTCATCCTGAAGTTATATCAAAAGGAATTCTTCAATAGCTGGCATATATTCCACAATTCAAGCAGCTTTTTGACATGCTTAAAGATTTTGCACTCTTCTTTACTTTGCCTCTTTTCCCTATAAAATGATTTTTTACCCCATACACATGAGGGTGCTGGATTTTTCTAATGTTTGAGATTTTGTGAAAAGTGATTTGTGGAGTGTTATCATTTAATAAAATAGTGGACTAAAAATTACTGGTGTTTGTGCAGGTGAGAAAGTATGAGAGTAGTCGTTCTAGGAGCCGCAGCAGAAGCCCCAGAAGCCCCAGCAGGAGTAGGAGTCCGAAAAGGGCCAGAAGGTGAGTTTTTTGTTAAATTTCATTGCCAAATAGCTTTTAGACATTTTACTTTTCTCATGGAAAACCTGTTTCATTCTACAGTAGATCCTTGGAGCGTTCTGTGTCTAGGTCACGATCTAGATCACGATCAGCATCACCAATCAAATCTTCAAGGTATGTAAAACATACTATGTTGGGTAAATTTTTTGCAATTCTATATGTGATCTGAGTTTTTCATTGAATTATGCAGGCCAAGATCACGCTCACGGTCTGGATCTCCTCGCCAGGTATTTTTGGTTTAAACATTTAAAATATAATATTTCTGCGGTGAACTAGGAATATGACAATTTTGTACGTGTTCTGAAGAATCCGTATGTATTTGAGGATTTGGCTTGTTATCAAATAAATGTACTCAGAATTTTCTACGTCTTTTTTTTTCTTTTGTTCAAATCTAAATTGTATTTGTAATATGTTTTATGAAAAACATATTAAGTATAACGCTGGATTTTTTAACGGCAAAGAGTCGTGATAATTATTTGTTTTGTAACCAGAATTTGTAGTATATCAGAATTTTTGGTTATTCCGGCTTGTTTGAGTTTACAAGATCAGCCATAAATGAATAATCTGTGTTAATTGACCGCATTGAACTTTTTTTTGTAGGTGCTGTCAGGTAGTGGATGAATTTCTGAAAAGACGCCAGGTGGTTCTTTGGAGATATTGTCCCGATCTAGGCAGTATCACAATTATATTTAAGTTGAACTGAATTGTTCTAAGGGAAAACTTTTGATGTACCTAGGCTGTTTCTTGGTAACTGTTTACCAGTTCAGTTGTGTTGTTTCATTCAAACAAAAATGTTCGATATTAGCCTAGCGGTTGCGGTTGTACCTTTTAAAGTTGCTTTGACACTTGCCAAGTATAATTTCATTTTTAGATCACCTGCTTCTTCAACCGTGAGTTTGGTAAGACTGGATGAGAGACACCAGAAATGACATCTTTTGGTATGAATGAAATTAATGGAAATATTTTTAAAAAGTAGGACTAAGTATTATTGTTTCCCACAAAACACAATAAAATTTCACATTTACTGTACAATACAATCAGTTATTTTTTAAAATGCTGTAAAAATAATGTGCTAGTCCAACATTTTATTATTATTGGTGATGGGGTGGGGTTCCTTAATTTACGTAAAAATATTTTCATCCGCAACCAATTAATCCTTTAATATTTTTTTCTCTGAAGTAATTATACTCTTATGGAGTGTAATGGTTATTATTACCGGAAAAAAGAAAACACAAATGTGAAGTGGTTTCTGATTGGGACGATTTCTACAATCAGTGCTGGTTAAGAATATTTTTCACAACCTCTCTAGGCCATTTAATAATTATCCCTATCGTGGTTAGCCAGTGCTCTTTAATTGGCAAGTTTCTTCAAATTTTTCAAAAACAGTAAGTTCTTACAAAAAATCAACTCAAACATAAAGTAGGGCATGGTTTGGGTGAAGTAACTAAAAATTAGTATATTTGAACCATTTATTTTCACCGATAGATATAACATTATTTTAACCAACAATCCAGATTCTACCAAATTTATTTTGGTGATTAGATTCTGGAAAAAGAAGTTTAGGTGTTTAGATTAAATTAAAATGTAAATAATAACTTTTAAATTACAATAAAGTATGTAAAGGAAAACAGTGTGGAGAGTGTTCCATCTCATATTTGCAGGCTATAACTTTCCAATTGTAGTGCTTCCAATCTTACGATGTCAGAACCTTCGCTTGGATGACGACGTCTAAGACTCAGAGAACCGCACCACCACTTCAACAGTGAAAGTACGTTGAAGCCGAACGCAGAGTAATCGAGGGAACCCAATATAGTAAACAGCGAATAAAGGTATTAATGGAGGCATGATCTACCCGCGAGCGGGATGCAACTTGTGAAACAATATGCAAATGAAGGTGTGTGTGATGAAGGGCTAGAGAATATGGTGGGAATGGGTAAGGAAATATATGCCCTTAAAGATAATATGACTTGGTTAATGCTGACTCTTCCACCTACAAACACAACATAAGAGAATCTGTGGATACACACAATTAAGTATAAGTCCATCCAAGCATATAGACTCAAAACAAGATTTCTCATCTATAACAAGTGGAATTTCTTTTTGCCAAAGAAATTATATACTCAAGATAATTTCTAAAATAAGATTTTTTTTTTGGCGCAAAAACCTATCAAATTTTCTAAGGAACAAAACTACAATTTGGCCAAAAGTGAATTTATTGCAAATTGAGTGTCTTGTAGACAAACTTATAGAGAATATGGATAATAGATAAATTTGTATTATTGTGTATTGTCCATGTTCCAATGTTGATGAAAAATACCCAAAATGATCATGCATGGGTATGAGTACGAGCAACTATAACCTCCTTAGTTTATTTCGTACTCTTGTTTTAAAATTAATGCATATCATATTTCCTTTTGATAATTTTTTCTTTTGTAAAAAAATAATTTTACAAATATTTAGGTGGATGTGGATATTAATATGAGTATACTCGTTATTCGATATGGTTGAAGATGAGACACAAATTTCACACTTCATGAATATCGAGTTTGGATGTTTATGATTTTTTACTATAAGGATGAGAATAGTATAATCAAACTCACACTTACTTCACTTTATTGTCATCTCAAGTTGATTTATTTGTCTATCACAAGACTTGATCTTGTATATCTACTTCATATTTTGTCTCAACTTACACAATAATCGTTTGATGATTATTGGGAGACGACTCTCAAAATAGTGAGATATTGAAAACTTATGAAGAAGAGGGATTATGCTTTGTATTGATAATGAACTAAGTTTTAAAGGGATTATGTGACTTTGACTTAACTAAATTATCCACTTAAGCGACATTCTTTAATTGAATGGTTTGTCTTATTAGTTCTCTTATGTTATGGAATACTAAGAAGAAATAGTTCTCTTATATTATGTAATACTAAGAAGAAACATACAATGTCTAAATCATTTGTAAAGGATTAGTATGAATCAATAGTGTCAACAATATACGAGTTAAAATAACTTAAACAACTTTTAAAGGACTTGCGTATGCAACATCCAAAGAGTATGTAATTGTATTTTGATATTCAATTGATATTGTACATTGCTCAAAATCTAAATATTCATAGAAAAATATTATAGATTGACAATCATTTTATTTGAGATGCGATAACTAAAGGGATGATTTAACCATGACATGTTTCTATTAGTGTTTGATTGGCAAATATCTTTACAAAAGCATTAGAGATAATAAAATGTAAATTTCTATTTTGCGAGTTGTGCATTTGAGAACTTCACACTTTAAATTGAAAGGATTAACATGTGCAAGCACACACACATACGAGCTCCGAGGAATTAAAACAATGGAAGAAAAAATTGCCACCTTTGTTATGGTTTAACCCCTGCAATGAATAGACACACCTCATCTTACATGCCTCACATGGGAGAAAAAAAATGCTCAAATTGAGATAATGAATGATGACACTTGAGCTCAAGTTCAATGCATACATAGGGTTGAAGGTGGAGACAAAGTTTTTACAATGGTCAAAGCATATCTAATGTTTGTTCTTTTAAGATATATTAATTGGAATTCAAGTATAAGTTGAAGCCTCGTATTGTGTAATTGGTAAGTTAAGTAACATATAAATGAAACAGACCCACAAAGTTATAACCATAAAATTTTAGGTTTAAGGTGGTGTTAAGTTATGTTGTACTGTTGACTCATAGTCTATTACTAAAATTGTCTTCATTATTTTTCCCTTCAAATTATCTAAAATTCGTAATTATATCACTAAAATTGTCTTAATTATTTTTCCTTCAAATTATCTAAAATTCGTAATTAGAGCCTTGAAATATACACAAATATATAGTTTTTTTTTTAATGTTAGAACATTAACAATATATTTTAGCTTGGTCTTTCCTTTGTTTTTAAATTTGATTCCAATTTGTAATGTTCTCTAACCTTTTAAGGTACTATGTTTTATCCACTTCATTTATTTTTTGATCTATATTTATATTTAATGTTATATTTGAAATGTATGACTTTTTTTTCTATTTCTTTATTTGAAATAAATGAATTTTACTAGTTAATTTATCAAATGTAGTTAATTTACTTTTTGTATTCATGCAATAAGGTTGAAGTTTTAAAATATTACATAATAGGATAAAGTCTTCCTATGTACGACAACTTCACTTAAAAAAAACTAAAGTCATGTTACGAACGACTTCAGTTAAATGTGTTTTTGTAAAATGAAGTCATATATATATATATATATATATATATATAATTTTTTCTGAAGTCGTATGAGTGAGCATTGCTTTTTAGTTTTTAAATACTTCTCATAATTTTATTTTTTATTTTTTAAGATTTTAAGTAATTAATATTAATAAAATTATTCAAAATGTAATAAAATAAATAGTT